GCTTCCCCATTGACTTTGCTTGGTCACAAAAGGTGATCACATCCAGGGGTGGGTTCTAAATTTTTTTACTACTGCTTCTGTGGGTGTGGCTTATTTTGTGGGCATGGTTTGATGGTCATGTGACAATTCTTTCGGATTTAGCAGAGGTACTGGTCTACCAGGCTTTTAACTGCTTGCAGAGCTGTACCGGTCTACCCATTTATTCTTGGAGCGTTCCGGTCTACCCATTTGTTTTTCGAGCGCACTGGTCTACCACCACACTGCCTTTTAACACTGATCAGCTGTAGGGCGGCCCTTTGAAGCCCTGCAGCAAGAGTTTAAACAGTTTTTTTCTTTCTAGCCGATCAGCTGGGACTCGGGAGGCAGCGAATAGATTGGGGGCGGGGCCAAATAAAAGGTAAGAATAATGCGGGGTGGGGGGTGGGAGGGCCCAGTTCCCGAACAAAGAGAACTGGTTTGGTGATGTCATATTGTCACCGCTACCGGCTCGGCCAAACCAGGCTGAACCGGGAGGAACCCACCACTGATCACAGCACCCGGGACACTGCAACCAGCATACATGTGAACTAGTTGCCAATCATCCAAATTTTGATCATGAGACCATGAGTATGCTGCCATGGTCGTAATTGTGGAAAACAGCAATAAAACACTTTATAAATAGCTGTTGTAACTTTGAACGATTACTAAATGAACTGTTGTTAAGTCAAGGACTATCTGCAAACCCTAGTGTTTGAATTTATGTGACTGCATTACAGTTTTTGAAATAGGCATTATAGCTGGCCTCCTTGTAAACTATTTGTTGCTGCTTGTCCCACTTCTTTGAGGCAAGGAATATCCCAGGAAATCATACCAGGGTAGCTTCTTTTGTATATGAGAACAGAGCACTAGAAATTCTTTATAGTACTTGTTCTAGTTAAAATGTAAAAGAGCATTTGATAGCAGAACCACTCTATCAAATCGGATCCCCACAAAGGTACCTTTCATCCAAAAATGTTTAATCTTCAGATAACTTCCAGCTCTCTGTTTTCCCTTCCCTTCCCCTCCCCATTCACGGTCTGCCCAACTGCATGCATAATTTGCCAAATGTTAGTTTCAGAACCTACATTCCCCATTTATTGGATTGTTAGTAGCCATTAAACATATGAATGTTGTTTTGTCTAAGCAGTAATAATTTCAAGGCTAAATTGTATTGGTAGGCAGTAAACAAAGTGAGTCCCACTGAAATTAATTGTAGCAACAGCACTAGTGATGCCATCGTAGATTAGGACTGGGGGTCACCATGGCCATTTAATCAAGAGCATATTTCAGATCTTTGTTTTGCTAAAAGAAAAAAAGATCTGCAGCCCTGGAAATGCTACCCTGCCTCGTTTCCTTTCTGATTCTCATTGTCATGCTTTGTGTAACTAGCTAAGTTGATTTGACACCCACTGCACAAAAGGTTGTCCCTTCTGTTCTATCTATCTTAGCTGGTACCAAGAACAGAGTTAAAAAGCAGCACAGCTGGGAAGACAGTGATCCCCCCAAATATACAAAAGCATACCAGAGGGAATAGTCATCAACATAAAGTGAACAAGCACCCAGACTATTGATTACATGCTGCTCACAGAACACTGGGCATTTCTGCCAACTTCTTTCCACTTGTATGCTGAGTTACAGACAGCATGTTATACTTTGCATCATCAGTTTGATGAATAATGCACTGATAAACACTGCAGCCAATATTCTCATAGAGCGGAGAAGCCAGATGTCATCTGGACCTCCAATAGTTTTAACCCTGGGCCAAAGACAGACACTGAAATAAACAGTAGACTGCACCACAGAATGGGTAATTCCTAAATGCAAGATTATGTACAATATCAATGTAGTTGGGAAAGCATTTGCAAAAATAAAGGACTATTATAATTGTTCTTGTTCCTTCACAAGCGAGGAAAGTAATTCATTTATGTTTCTAGAGCACAGTCTGCCTAAATGGTTTGCTTGTTAATCCTGTCCTAGGACAGGAACTGTATTTAAATTTTAGAGAAGGCAATATCGGGTTTGTAACAGGATTGAGCCAAGATACTGGGCCTAATTAACAGGCAGGAAGCTTTAAGGAAAGGAAAAGGTTTTTTTTAAAGATCTTCATATAAAGGAATTTTTCAACTAGACTATGGAAAGAATGAAATTAGGTGATAACTTTAGAGAGAGAGACTGTAAAATATGATTGGATGCTGCTTCTTTATAACTTTTTCTCTTTCTCTTTTTTTCTCTTTCTTTGTATTCCCCCCCCATTTATTTAATACTTTACTTCCTTTTTCTAAACTTGTATTATTTTTATTGTCATAAAAAAATTCTTAATCAAAATTATATCCCAACTGAAAAAAATGTTTTCTTTTCAAACCTATTCTGTCTGCAGGTGCGCTGGACTATAGTTTCCATAATACTCAGCTAGCATGCTCATTTAGGCTGCAGGCTGATATACGGTATTTATGGACTTTCTTCTCTATGCTGCTGCATCTGAGATATTTCTAAGCAACCAACCATTTTGACAGTATGAACGAAAATAGCTTTGTGGGTCCTGCAGTTTCTGTCAGGCCAGTGAAATGCACAACCCAGGCTACCTGCAACCTAATTTGACAGCTCAAACCAGGGGGCCCTTCTTTAAAAACAAACAGCACAAGAGGTTTGGTCCAAATGTTTGAAAATCCATCTGAAGCCAAAATGAAAGCATGGGCAAAACTCCTATGTGGTTGAGGACAAGCCATGGCTTTCATTTTGAAATGATTGGCTTAGCTTGCTCCAAGTGAAAGGCCATCTCATAGCTACTGGCTTTTGCAGAATGTGAAAGCAATTAGATAACAGCATACATTTTAACTTTGTTGCCTGCATCTTATTCAAAGATAATGCTAAATCTGCTTAAAGTATCATGTGAATTTACCAATATATGTATACAATATATCTAGTTGGCCTCAGAAAGGAAAAATAGGACCCAAACAGAGGGAACCTGCAGACACATCAAGAAAGAATGATAGCTAATTTAAATTATTTTGAACTGTCGTTGTTCTTTAGCAATATTCTTGAACCACAATGTTAACATGCTATAGATAGATAGATGGACGGATGGACGGATAGAATAATATTCACGGTGAAACAACCTCATAATGATGATATGATGGCTATTATTTTAAATAAGAAAAACATCATCAAAATGGGAACTACATATTCTAATGTGTAGGCATAGATTCAAATCTATACGTAATTACCATAATTAAAAAATAAAATACCTCTCAGCATAATAGGGAAGACAATAACCAGATGACCTCTTCTGTTCATTCTGCTATCCAGATGCTAAATGTGGTTGGGCAATTTCAAAGTCACCATTCTGGTTTCTCATCTTTAAACTAGGTTAGGGCTGTGCAGTCCTACAAATAGAGAACTGTCCTCTATAAAGTAGGGCACAGGAACACATTAAACAGTGGGGAGCTACCAAATTGAAAATTGCTGCTAAGAGAGTACCTGAGGAAGAAAAGAAATTGATTTCAAGCTTTTAAATAAATTGCCTAAATAATGGAAGATATCAAAAGACCCCAACATTGTATGCCAGTTTCTATAATAAGTTGGCATTCCAAATATGACTCAGGGAAGACAGCCTAATTATACTTAAAAAGGCTTTCTGGCCTTCTAAAATCTGCATGTGCCCTATAAATCAAAGAAATAGTTCAAAAAGAGTAACTTGCCTGCAAATATGATCCCCATAATGCTGCCAAGAATAATGAGTTCCCTAATAGTTTGTTTAGCTAGTAAAATATGTAAAATCTGAAAAGGAAATTGGCTTAAAATCCCCATATTTAAAAAATCTAAAATAGGTTTTAAAACTATCATCTTAAATGATGTGTTGGATAAATACTATGGCCATGGCCAGTCAGTTCCCAAGTCGAATTTGTGTACTGCTACTTTTAGAACATATTATTTCTAAGAATAAAACTACAGTATCTTGGATCAAAGCAAGTTAGAGGAAATGTAGTATAGTACTAAATTATTTTGTTCTGATAAACAGGAGTAGAGGCAGCACTGCCAGTTGAAGAGAATTGTGTAATGATATTCTGGAACTGACATGGAAACCATTTCCTTAGAATGCCCAGTTTGGGTCTGATCAGATGAGGGGGGGAGACGCATGTTGAGGAGCACTCAAAGGTATACCTAATGAAATGCCTTCCAAAGAACAACAGCTCTAATTTATTCAGGCCACAACTAATCTCTTTTTGAACATTATCTCACAGTCAACCATTGATTTATTTGGGTGTATTTTCTGAAGCTAATAACCTATTTACAAATGGCAAATTGAAGCATTATGAGATTAGTAATATAGCATGTCTTGGCTAGCTCATTCTCCAAAATCAAAGGAACAAGGGAAGTCTTCATGTATCAGAAAGGAACAGGTTTTATAGATAGAGGGCTTAACGGTTATGAGTATGATTTGCTCTCCTGAATTTAGACAGAAAGAGAACTGACAAGTAGGAGAGAAGTTGATGTAAAACATCTGAGGATAGCCAGGTAAGTGAAAATACAGCAAGGAAGTTCAGGGGGGGAAATGGAACCAAACTTTTTGCAAATCATAATGGAATGCAGCAAATGCTCATCTTAAGGAATGGGTGGGAAAGAGGGACAACCAAGAAGTTACTCAAGATTCATAATATTGCTCTTCTATTAGGTCAACACAAAAATACCACTAAAGGAAAACCAAGGGAGCATCACTAGCATAAAACTGTTAAGAAGAAAAATTACATGGACTGGGAAAGGCTTAGGACAAAATGGTAGATTAAAACAAAAATAAAAGGAAACAGAAAAGGGGAAAAAAAAACCCAGATAGGTCTGAAAAATAATTTGTAAAGAGACAGAGAGCCAGTGACTGTAGTGGAATTTCAATTACCCTGTCATTGATGGGTATAGCAGCAATACAGTCATTAGAAATGGGATGCATGTTTCTAAATGTAATACTGGGCTATTTCTTCTGTTTGAAGAGCAATCAACAGGACTAGAGGCTATTCTGGACTTCATCCAAGGAAATGAAAGTAGGTGAAATGAATACATGATGCTAATAAACCCTTAGGGCTATGTTATCATAATATCACCAGATTGGAAACACTTCTGAGAATATTTGTATCTGAATGGTTATCAAAGTACAGCACTCTGTCTGGAATGAGTTGGAGAAAGTTGATAGGAAACAACTGTTTGTGGGCTGTAAAAAGGAAAAAGTATGCATTCGTTTAAAAATAGAAAGCCTGTGACATTTCTATTCTCTTTAGCTTTAATCAAGGTTGAAATAATAAGAAAGTGAAAGCAGTAGTCCCAGGAAAATGTAATGCAGGTATCAAAATAACTTTGTTATTCAAAGGACAAATGCCCTCGAGACACAAATAAATGTGGCAGAATCAAAATGAATTAAAAATATTATGGGAAAATATTATGAGAATATTAACAAATAACAATCTATAAATAATGTTTCTATCAAAACTAAAGCCATGTTACCCTGTATATTAGAGATACATGTGGGAATGCAAACATAGCACTAGTTTGAGACTGTTTAAACCAGTCTGGGGAATTCTGGGAGTTGAAGTCCACCAGGCTTAAAGTTGCGAAGGTTGGAGACCCCTGGTTTAAAGCACTTGTATCTTTCCCCATGACAAACTCAGAGCAGCTTATAGTGTTCAGTTTCCTAAGTTAATGTGGTGATGAAGGAAATTCAGAATCCTCTTTTGGCTGGGCTGGATAAAGCTAGAAACTTCCTTCAGATCATCAGATCTTCTGAAGAGGAATCAATATGTTGATCTGTAACATATACGTCCATCACACAGAAAATGACTCGGTTGAATGGGGACTTCTGTTTATTTTGACTTCTGCCCACTGCATTGTAACAGCTAAAACCTTAACAATTCTCTCCTAGGGCTGATCCTAATTGCTCATTTGCTCAGGTAACAGCTCCATACTTTCTCCAGAAATGTTGCTTCACAGTTCAAAGATAGCTCACACCAGCTCCTTTCTTCTCTTCAGAAGCTCTTTTTAATATGTTAACATTTCTGTATCTCTGTTGAAGGAAATAAGGAAAGGGTAGAATAGAAATAGGCAGACTTCATGCCATAGAGCAGAGGTGTCAAACTGACAGCCCGTGGGCCAAATGTGTCTCATACATGCCACATCCAACCCAGCTCCGCAAATGGGAAAAACATTACAAAACATCACATGACAGCAACCAAAACTTTAATCTTAGAATGTCTACTGTAGATAACTAACACAGCCATGTTTTTATTCCTTTAGGACTGTTTTCATCTTTTACTATCATTAAGCAGCAAGATAAAAAAATGTTATGGTTATAAGTCTTTTGCTGTTGTTGTTGTGTCCAAATCAGTTTTTGATTCCTGGCAGCTATCTCAGTAGGTCTCTGCAATTTTCTTGGCAAGGTTTTCAAAAATGGTTTGCCACTGCATTCTTTTTAGGGCTGAGCGAAAGTAACTGGCCCAGTTGGCTTTATTCCTAAAAGGCTAGAATCTAAAGTCTCTCGGTTTCTAGCCTAATGTCTTAATAATACACCAACTGGCTGTAAAATTCTATAACTTTTATAAATTTAATTATTACTCCGAGTACAAATATTTCAGAGTAGGTTAAAGCTTCCAGATTTGTTCTTCAAAAATCTGAATGGCTGTTAGATGTCAGCAAAGAATGAGAGTTTTCTGTATAGCTTTGCTGCTGCCAAGAAGTCACCCAGATTGCGAAGTCCAAATCTGGTAAACCGAGTATGTTTTTCTAAATAAGTTATCTCTTTATTATGTTAATTTAAAACCTCATTCTGCTGCATTCATTATTATAATAATTTCAGATGCCACAAATGTATTCAGTTCTTATCCCAGGCCAATATTCTTTTTTTATTACATCCTTATCATTTTTCTATGAAAATGAGAATGAAGGATAGCCTGATTCTAGTCCATAATAGAAAATGTGAATACTTAACTCTCAATACTTAACTCTTATTACTCGGTGGTCATTTTCTTTATGTTTGTTTTCACTTTATTTAATCACTAGATATTTATACCTTGCCTTTCCTCCAGAAACTCAAAGAAGCAGACACAGAACGGATTCTTTTCGGGCATATTGGGCTGACAAAGAGAGGCCCCAAAGCACCCAGTGAGCTTCCATGGGCAAAGTTTAGGTGGACTTGAATCTGGGCCTCCCTTTCCTAATCTCACACTTTAACACATTTTGCCAAAAAAAAGTTCATCCTGCATTAAGGAAATTTCAGATGAACAAATTTAAGTTGGATTTATATATTACGCTAAGCTATAATGCTTGGTTTCATGTGTTGTATGATTGTAGTTTATTGAAAAGAAGGTAGTTAAGCATACCATGATTAGTGTGAAGTTTTTAGAATTCTTAGAGCTTTTAGAAGCACAGCTTTTAGAGTTCACTGTGCTTTTGTACAATAAGGGTTTGTTTATTCTTTATGCGCCAGCCGAGATATGAAAGATTTTCCCTCTCTACAGCTACCCTTCAAAACCTTGTCTGTAGTAAAGCAATCATGGGGCCCATCTGATATCTCTTCCCAGAGGAGCACAGTAAGTCTTTAGTGTAAAATATTTCCTACATTTTGGTTGAATTATCTGAATCCTCCCATCTCATGTGTGCCAGGAAAAGAAAAGGAAGGAGATAAATGAGATGCAGGTCCTGGTGTCAAGCAAGACCTCGATAGATGGAAAAGGGTTGATGGAGAAAGCAGCAGCTTGTTACAGCTTCAGGAGGGGGTTAGTTGTGTGCCCTTGGCTGGTGCTTGTTGCCAACTCCAGCATGTTCCCTAGCCAGAAAATGGGGTGGCTGGGGGATGCTAAGTATGCTTCACTAACCAGTAGATCATACCCCCTCAGGAATGTGTTGTCTAGCTGGCAGGCTTGAAATGCACTGCTGAGTATTAGGAGGAAAATTCTGTCCTGTGTATGTTTATGTTTCTACAGCCTTCCTCTCAGTTTTTCTCTGAGCTGCTAATGGCTTCAGCAGTCAAATTTAGCTCCAGACTTTCACTACAATTCATGAAATGTTTGGTATTATATCCACACACACACAAAAAAAACCTTAATTAGGATCGTTGGCCTCAGAATCAGAATTCCACTCTGAAATATCCCCAAGAGTTACATCAATAATCTGTTGGATAAGGAAGGGCCAATGCTGACATAATGTACATAGATTTCTGACAGGGCCTCATTATAGCTTCATCTCTAGAAAAATTGCATGGACTGTTAATTCTGATATAATGTTTCCATGTATATGTGTTTGAAGAATCATCCTGTGAACACCAAATGTTGCATTCGAAGGGCCCCCAAACCTCTAGTATTTAAGAAGCAGTACAATTATTGCGATTTCATCCATTATAAGAATGGGCGGACAACAGGACTCGATCTTCCCCTGCTGGATTACAATGCTGACAATACCAAAGCCTCCTTTACAGCAGATGCTTAATTACCTGGAATTAAAATCTTTATCCCAGCTAAAGATCAGTGGCCTTTTTGATTTACATTTATAATATAAACCTTTCTAAAATAAGGGAATATACTCTGTTTTATAATATAAACACTCAAGACACCAAAAATAATGAGGTGCATAATGATTGACAGATAGTACATACCTTTTTTTTCTTTTGCTAATTAGATCAAAAAAGGCCTTACCATAAAGTGTTATAATTTAAGGATGGTCAGCACAAAATCACACTCTGTCCATTAAGGCATATTCAGTTGGTTTTTCATTTGCACTTTTCAATCAGAGACTCCATTCTACCTCATCCATTCAGTCGCTTGTTTTCATGGAAGATTGAAACAGGTGGATCAGAAAAGTCAAGATGGCAGTTGTAGCCAGATGACTGAATCCCATACCTTTCAAACATGTGATACATGTAAAATAAGGGGCAGGGCTTTAATTGCATAGTCTCAGCCACCATGTCTTTCTCTCCCCCATCACACCCCGTGGACATGGCTGTTTTTAGGAAAAAGAGCCATTGTAGAATATTCAGCCTTGGGACCATAAGTTTGACTTAGTTTCATTCTGCAAATTAATTTACTTGTTATCTCAAAGATACCATATTATCAACTCCCTGGTATGGAAATCATTTGAAAAAGTGCTTCCCAAAGTCATATAAGCACAGGCAAAGCACTTCTCTCCATAACAATAAAATAGCCAAGCCCTTCAGCTGCTTCAAAGGTTGTGTCTGATTGTAAGCCTATTTCAGCACAGTCTGTACCTGCACATGTTTGCAGAGAACTAGGGACAGCCTCTAAATGCAATTGCACCATCCAAAGATCCCTAGAAGCTTTGCTCCTGCTATCCTCTTTTTATAAAGCATTTCTTTTCAAATGCTTTCCATAACCTAAAAGTTCATTGTTCTCAATGTTTAGCCCAGTTTTAGGAAAACAGTGTGGACGAAAGAGTTAATGTTTCTCGCCTTGGTATTGTCTTTCTCATTATATTTTGACCAATGGGCTTAAATGAAAGTAAAACAAATGGGAAAATGGCACAGAAACAAGTGCAAAATGGATCTGGTGTGTCAGCTGCCCTTCAATCTTAACACCTTATTTATCTAGATGGTGTAATTGTCTGCGGCAATTACATAGCTTCTGGCTGGGTTTGCAATACCCTATCATGGTCCCGTCGGATCCCGGTTCGGAGGAGGAGAAGTCAGAACTGGCACCATCTTCAAATCTTAGTGTTATTAAATCTTGGTATTGAATAATTTCAACTGACAATGCCACTACCCTACAAAGCGACCTTGACCATGTGTCTGAATGGTCGCGCAATTGGCAACTCCAGATCTCGACTAATAAATGCTCTGTCCTACACATTGGCAATAAAAATCAGAACACATTGGCAATAAAAATCAGAACACCAAATACAAGTTGGATGGAAACGACCTCGTAGACGACCCCAACTCTGTCAAGGACCTCATCTCAAATGATCTAAGCTCCAGAGCCCACTGTAACAGCATTGCCAAAAAGGCATTAAGAGTTGTTAACCTAATTTTCCGAAGCTTCTCCTCCGGTAACATTGTATTGCTAACTAGGACATATAAAACCTTTGCCAGACCAATTCTCAAATACAGCTCATCTTCCTGGACTCCACACTGTATATCGGACATTAATACTATTGAGCATGTCCAGAGGTACTTCACGAGAAGAGTATTCCACTCCTCTACTCACAATAGAATTCCCTATGCCAACAGACTTGAAATTTTGGGCTTGGACAATCTGGAACTGCGCCACCTGCGGTATGATCTAAGCACAGTACACAAAATTATCTGCTAAAACCTCTTACCTGTCAGTGACTTCTTCAATTTCAACCTCAATAATACATGGGCAAACAATCAGTACAAACTCAAAGTAAACTGCTCCAAACTCAATTGCAGAAAATACGACTTCAGCAACAGAGTGGTCAACACCTGGAATGCTCTACCTGAGTCAGTTGTTACATCCTCTAACCCTCACAGCTTCAACCTTAAATTGTCTACCGTGGACCTCACCCCATTCCTAAGAGGTTCGTAAAGGGAGCGTGTGTTAGATATCAAGTACAGTTCAAATGAGCCAATCAGGAATTAGTCCTGAGAGCGGGAAATTAGAAGGCACGTCAGTGGTTGCACTGTTAAATAAAAGAGTTACAGTTACATTGTTTCAAGTCTTCCTTCAATCGCCCACGATTTAACATTGGCGACGAAGGTGGGATCTGAAGGAACAGGACTGCACATCAATCTCCAAGCAATCATCAGCCACCCATCCGATCCACCGAAACACCGGTCAGATCATCGGCTATCGTGATGTCTGCAATCACACCGCCCACTCCATTCCACCCAACCGGGGAAGATTGGGAAACTTACATGGAGCGATTCTATATGTTCATGGAGGCGAACGATCTGCTGAGCTTATCAGAGCAGAGGAAGAGGGCCCTTTTCCTCACCCATTGCGGCCCGGCAATGTTTAAAATGGCAAAAGCGCTTGCCGCCCCAGCCGATCTGAAGACCATGACCTGGACAACGTTGCAAGAAATACTCAAGGCACACTACGCACCGCAAGCATCATCCCTGGTAAGAAGGCATGAGTTTTATCGGAGGGACCAAAGAGAGGGAGAGACAATCAGTGCGTTCGTGGCGACCTTGCGGGAAATAGCTGCCACATGCGATTTCCTGAATCTAGATGAGGCCATGAGGGACCGTCTAGTACTGGGACTGAGGGACCTCACGTTACAGAGTAGGTTGCTGGCCCGGCCTCAAATTACATTCAAGGAGGCCTTGGAAGAAGCATCCGCAACCGAAGCTTCCCAGAAATCGGCGGCGGCTATGAAAAAAATGAAAAGCAGGCCGCCCGTAAAGGAGGAGGCGGCTGTGCACTATGAAAGAGTGGAATCGGGTTCGGAGGAAGAGGACGAGGAGGATGAAGTCCATCACCTCCGAGCCGATCGCAAGGAGAGACAACAGGGGAAGAGAGAGGCCTGGTGCTCAGGATGCGAAGGGAACCACCCGAGAGCCGAATGCAGATTCCGGGACGCTATCTGCCAAAGATGCGAAAAGAAAGGGCACATAGCGAGAGTCTGCAGGGCATCCCAGCCAGCCTCAAGGAGGACCAGACCCCCCCCCGATCGCCAACAAACAACAGAAAATTCCAGACAAGTGGGAAGAGACAACCGTTTGGGCGAGGACAAAGAAACGATGACCATCGGGCGGATCGAGGCGAGACCCATCAAACCATCGTGATCGACCATGCCAGCGCGGGAAGGGCAAATAAGATGGCGGCAACAGTCTTGATCGAGGGGAGACCCTGCAGAATGGAGGTGGACTCGGGATCCAGCCTATCGATGGAATCCTGGACAACAATCAAGAAGCTCCTGCCACACATCACAGCCTGCGACCTCAAACGACAGCGCCTCACCCTCATCGACTACCAAGGGAACCGAATTCCTGTGGTAGGCATTGGCAAGTTCAACGTAGCCTACAAGACATTCAAAGCCACGCTACCCCTCACGATTGTGGACAGAGACCGGCCCAGCCTGCTGGGCATGGAGTGGTTCGAGCCATTGGGGCTAGCCATCACCGGCGTCGATCACATCGGAAACGACACCTGGGAGGAGGACCTGATGAGGGAGTTCGCAGAGGTCTTTAACAACGAGCTAGGCAAGTACAAAGGGTCCCCAATCTCATTCAATTTAGACCCCCAGGTAGCCCCAATCCGAATCAAACCCCGGAGAGTCCCTTTTGCGCTACGGCCAAAAATAGACGAACAATTAGATAAACTGGTCACGCAGGGAGTGTTAGAGCCAATAGACCACGCGAGATGGGAAACCCCCATCGTGACACCGATTAAACCGGACGGGTCAGTACGCTTGTGCGGAGACTATAAAAGTACATTAAATAAGGCACTCCAACAAAGCGCATAGCCTGTACCAGTAGTCCAACACCTCTTGCATTCCTTGGGGAGGGGAAGAATCTTCACAAAATTGGATTTAGCACAAGCATACCAGCAGCTGCCCATAGATGAAGCCACCGCGGAAGCACAAACCATTGTTACACACAGGGGCGCATTCAAATGTA